ACCATGGTTGGGGCAAGAAAATTTATGAATAGCACCTGTAAATGGCCGGAAATATCACTCTCAGACTTAATTTGTAATGTAATTTTCTTTGTTTCTCCATTTTTAAAAAATATAATTTTGAAAAATTTAGGGGGCCTGTGCCAGCTGGGTTCCCCCTTCAATCTGCCACTGTGTACTACTTTTCATTTTATTTAAAGTATACCAATATTATATATGAAAAATACAGCATATAAGTTTATGCAGTAAATACAGTTTGTGCAGTGAATTTTAACATGCAAACATTTCAATTTGAGCCAACAACATAACAGAACATATGTCAATCTATCTATTATCTAGTTATAGTAGCTGAGTATATGTTTACTCATTTGATAACTCTGACAGTAACATATTGGTGATAATTAAAAGATATTCTATCCACTTATACTTCAATATATATAAAATGAGTAGACATAAAAAAGAAATAACATTCTTCTGATAGATACATAATAAAATGTTGATTACAAAGGAAAGATAATCAAGATGAATCACAAAATTATTTAAAACTAACTGACATTCGGTCTGTGTAGCTTTACTTTATTGACTAGGTCAAGCCTTCAGTTGATATATTCAATCTTGTTATGCACATGTTTCCACACAATAGTTCTCATGCAACCAGAATTAGGGAGCAAAATTTCTCATTGCAGATAACATTTTTTTTAAATTTCATTGTTGGGCATTCCTTTGATTATGTATATCGACGTTCTTTAAACTATGGTCCTATAGAAACATTTTTGGAGGGCCGCGAAGCAGTCTGGAAATTGAATAAAAAAAATAACAAAGAGACGTTTTATCATGGAGAAACACAAATGTACGGTATTATTTATTTAATAAAATAATATTTAATTTGTATGAAATGAAATTTTATAACTGAGAGAACAGATAATGATGTCAAAATATTGTATATACATAAAGGCTTCATGATCACAAGTTCTTGCAAAGATTTGGTATGTTGGTCCCTGGCGCGGCTGGGCTGCTGGGCAGCGGCTTGGTGCCTGAAATCGTAAATAGGCTGTGAAGTAAAAGTTTGTGGAACGCTGATCTATATAACTACATTTGTGGGCATAGAGAGATGGGTGTCATCTCACACTTGACATGCTTGAGTAATATACTTGATATGTTTGATATAATGTTATCTTGTTCCACATCGGATCAGAGTTCAGTACTGGCCTACTTTGTTGCATATCATTTAGGTCCTATATTATATATATTGTTTTTCAAAACTAGATCAATAAGATTTTTTTAACATTCAGATATTTGTTAAAAATTTGTACAATTTAGGTGTTATGCAAGACAGAGGACATAACTAAAAAAATGCAAGGTAATCTTGCCAAAATCGGAGTAGTTGGAATCTATGAAATATTAAATTTACCTCAAATATCCATGATGCTCTTTGATCTCAGTGGTTATGTTATTTGTTTGAAATAAAAAAGAAATAATTAATTTAATAATAAAATATATTAATCAAAAATTTAATTTAAATATATTTACATGAAGCCACAAGTGACTGTAATAATTTGAAATAAAAAACCCGATGATTTTTTGTTTTGTGATTTTGTATCAGATCTAGATTTCACAGAAGCAAAGGGGCCAAGCCATCCCAGCTGCTATGGTAGAAATGACAGTTTGGTCATCCAAAATATGGCTGGATGGCTCCTGGCTGAGCCCTTAATTTGTGGTGTCTTTGCAATGGACAAATTATAAAAATTACAATACAGACAATCCTGAATAACGTAAGCTGGCATCACATGGTCAATTAGTACAGAAATTTTGGTTCAGTTTATCATCTTGACAGGAGTATGTAGACACTTAATATTCCCTAGCCACACTATTATATTTTTGATAAAGAACTTGTTACCTCATAGAAATTTTAGGGACAATCTAAATAAAGGATATACTGATACTGGATCTATTCTTCTGCCGGTCCCTACCATTTCCCAAAGGTCTATACTTTCTATGCTGTGATTGGCTGATGATTTTCAGATGTCCTCAAAATCAAATCAAACTAGATTTGAACTCGTCCCTGCGGACGAGTTAGGTGATCCGCCGCACTTTGACCCACGAGGAAGTGTGCGCGGTGCGGATTGACCAATATTTAAATGCTGAAAATGGCAAAATACGCTAATTTAGTTTGTTAAAAAAGAATTTGGAGCATTTTAAAAGATTTACTCATGCGTACGCACGTCATGACGCACCTGCGCATTTTAATGTCACTGTTGTCTCCTGATATGGTATCAACTTTCATTGACAAATGCCTGTTGGTGAAGGAGTAATTATCATTCATAGTATTTATCATATATAAAAATTCAGTTTTTTTAATTCAGATGGCAATATGGTGACGTCACAATATCCGATCAGCTATTATGATAAATAAAATCATATCTACAACTCATGTGCTTTTAGAATATGTAATAAAAATTGGGGGGTCACCTTTCATCCTAAGGAGCTATAACTGATTGAAAATAGGCATGATATTAAGCACATTTTAAATTTGACGCATGCATACGCGCGCGTTATGATGCGCGCACAGGAAATTAAGGTACGTAACATTTAAACATGACCTGAAGTTTATACCCACTAAATGTCATTCAGAAATCACGGCTGGTTAAGGTGATTATGGGGTCATTAAATGTTTGAGGAAAGAAAGATGAGGGGGTCATCAAAATCCTTTATTTTGACCATGATGACGTCATCAAAATGTACAAAGAAGTCACATAATGAAAGAGAATTGCCTCAGCTATAATATATTCAAAGTTGGAAGACGATCGAACAAGAATAAGCGAGATATGCTCAAATGCGCATTTTTAAAAATGACGTCATCGATAAAATTCAGTTTGTTGAATTCAGATGGCAGTATGATGACGTCACAATGTCTGATCGACCATTATGAGCTAGAAAATCATATTTACAACTCATGTGCTTTCAGAATATGTAATAAAAATTGGGGGTCACCTTTCATGCGCACATAGTTCGCTATGTTTGATTCGTGCGTACGGCATTGTTATTGGCCATAAGGTGATTGAAAAGATCGGAAACTTGTAAAAACAATGTCAGGAACCCAAAATGTGACAAAAAAACTTAATTTCTAGCTTCTGTACGAGCTGCGTACGTAAAAATGCGCACGCGTAGTGGTAAATTAAAAAAAAAATTGAAATGCTCAAAATGGCATGTAACGTGCTCTAATTTAGTCAAAAAGTGATTTCGAGCATTTTGAAATTTTGACGCACGCATTACGAAGCACACGCGTGAAATTAGGATACAGTACATTTTACATTGACCTGAAGTTAATACTCACTTAATACGATTTCAAAATAGCAATTGGTTAGGCTGATATGATCGATAATGTAAAAACGCAAAATTGCGCGTAGCTGACGTCACGCATGACTGGTCACATTGAAAACCTTACCATGTCTATTCCAGGCGATGTCAAAATGATCGATGAAGCGACCTTGTGCGTAGCTTGTAGCAATTTTGAGATATCGTGCGAACAAAAATGGAAGGAAAGGTAGAATAAAAAAAAAAGATGAAGATCTCTGACAATAACAAGAGGTGATCACCAAAAATAGATATTACTGTAGTTAAAAGCATAATCTTAATATTCTATGCTAAAATTAATTTGTCTCCAGTGGATAGCGTGAATTCATGATAATATCTTAAACACCCATGCATATATGATAAAATCTACAATGAAGGTCAAACTGATTTTCAGCTGGTTAGTAGGACCGGTAATTCCCTGTCATAAGCATTACAGTGTAGAATTGTATGGGTGTTGAGCAAAAATTTTGGAGGGCTTACATTTGAAATTTCAACATACTTGACTCATTTATTTGTGACTTTGGGTTACTTTTCTAGGCCTCCCGAATAACTTGCTCCCCTGGGAATTAGGTGTTAGTCAGCCTGCCTTGGTGCCTTATTTCCATCCTCTGTTGTCAGCCTGGTCATGCAATGTCACAGACCCAATTGACCATGATCCAGGGTTATGGTTACCTTGTTTTCATAAAAAATTAACCAAACATGGGACTGACATTTTTTTTTTTTTAAATATTTCTGTATAGATTACGAGTGGGAAGATCAATTATAGATTTTTTTTTTATATCTTTGTTGATTGACTATTAGAAATATTCATAATATTTTTGAAGAAAATTAGTTAAGTGTATTATAATTGGCCTATATAATTATGGCACACTAATTTAGCTGCTATGGTGGCCTTTGACTTCTGCAGTGTTCTGCTGTGGCTTCACCACTGAAAGTATTAGCATGGAAGTAAATTTTAATTAATAAAAAGTGGCTAAAATTCCATATATTTATCAATGGTCGGGGTTTAACTACAAATCTCAGACTCTTCAATATAGAATGAGAAAGGTATTTACTGTCACTTTAGAAACAATAAAAAGAATAATGCAATCAATCAATCAGTAATAGTGAAAATCAACAGAAAAATCAGTCCGAAAAATAAAAAATATAAAAAATTTTTATTCCTTACAGAGCACTTACAAGGTTTATTGTGAATGGTTTATTAAATAATTTAGACTGATATTAATATTGATATTCTGTGATTTTTTCAGATTTTTTATGAAATGCAGTTGGGGTTTTTTTTTTGAAAGCTTCTTTTTTCCCCCAAAAAATATCATTAAAAAAATGCTCTTGTCAAAGATCAGAAGCAGGAAACTTAAGCTCAGTTGGAGCTGAAACAAAAACAGAGCAGCGATTGGAAAACCGGCAACGAAGAGATCTTCACAGTTCAATGTACACACAGTGGTATACCACCAGAACTGAGCTAAGCAGCTCTGAGATACATCATTGCTTCTAATGTTACTTTATGATTGTTGCAGAGCCAATATTTACTTTTAGTGTAAATTTTTTTGTAAATTTGTTTTTTACAAACAATATTTTTAATATAGTAATATAAATATTAAATGATAATGCAATTTAGTAGAATAATTTCAAATTAATTCTGGTTACAGATCGTTTTCGGTACATAGTGAAAGTATTGTGGCGGTTGACTTACACCCAAGTATTAACTGCTCTAAGTTGTAGGCTCACACAGGAAGAAAAACAGGCATGGAAAGAGAAACCACAGAAACAGGTAGGCTTACCACTTGCACAGTTTAGTATCAAATGTTTGCAAATTTAATTATTCTAATGAAATTATTAATCTCACTGAAAAAACCTGCTGATCTGTTTTTCCTGTTTATATGTACATATATTTTCTTTATATCATACAGAGTATTATTATTTTAAAAGCTTTAATATTCATCATAGATTGGAACCTCTCAAAGATGTCTTATACCCGATTCACACGTGAAGTTAAATTTAACAAAAAGTAGCAAATTGTAACCGAGCGATCTCCCGAGTTATTCCTACCGAGATAAAAAGCATTCACACGCGTCTGTAAGGTAATGCCAAGGTTGTGTAAAATTTATTCAGTGTTTATTCAATGAACCATTTTTCCCCTACTGCGATATAGGTCTAGCCTAGGCCTAGTTGACAACCCCTGTCACAGATGGACTGTTGAACTCACCATCACAGTAAACATTCGAAGCAATCAATACCCTTAACAACTGCTGTACTACTACTACTAAACTAGGCATAGCTTCCAACGTTTCTGTCTCGGACTCTTGTAATACTAGTAATAGTACTAACACCATCCCGACGTTCATTTTATGTATATCTTCTTCTTCTATCATTACTAATTAACATCAATAACAAGGGTAGTTCATTCATCATTTAGAAAAACTAGGCCTATCTATTTCTAGTGGATCAGAATCGTATACAGAAGGAAGAAAATTCAAAGAACCCCGTGAAACAGTAGATTGTTGTTGAGTTGAAATCCCTGCGCATGC